ACCTCTGGGTCACTGCCCCCCTTCCTTGCATGCTGGGGCACATTTACCCGAGAGGATTTCGGGGTAAGGCTACAAGAGTTGGGCTTGTTCAGCCTGGAGAAGAGAAGGCTCCAGGGAGACTTTATAGCACCGTCCAGTGCCTGAAGGGGCTACAAGGAAGCTGGGGGGGACTTTTCATAAGGGTCTGTAGTGACAGGACATGGGGTAACAGGTTTGAACTGAAGGCGGGGAGATTTAGATTGGGTATCAGGAAGAAATTCTTCACAGAGGGAGTGGGGAGGCACTGGAACAGGTTGCCCAGAGAAGCTGTGGATGCCCCATCCCTGGAAGTGTCCAAGGCCAGGCTGGATGAGGCTTGGAGCAACCTGGTCTAGTGGAAGGTGTCCCTGCCCATGGCAGGGGGGTTGGGACTAGATGGTCTTTAAGGTCCCTTCCAACACAACCCATGCTACGATTCTATGATTTCAGACAGGCCAAACCCAGCAAGACAAACCCAGGTCATACAGCGCATTCACAGAAGATTTAATAACTCTTTAAACGGCAAGGCAAGCAACCTACCACTGCCAGGGAAATGCACTGAGAAAGTTTTATTAGAAGGTGTGTTTCTGCCAAAATAAATAGTTACATTTTCTCAAGCATAACATTAGAAAAAAAAAAAAAAGAAACAGGAGAACAGTTTAATACTGAACTAGTCAAAGTGACCGTGACACTAGGTAGCGGCATCGCCGTGCAATTACGACCTGCGTATGCTACCGCCGGTCGAGTTGCTGCTCTGACATCAGTAATTTCCACAGGGTCTCCATGTGCATCGTGTGCTTAAGGGTCTGCCCAAACCCTGCAGCCGCAGCAGAGTCCCAGGGCCCGTTTTAGCTCAAAGATGCTGTTTTCAAGAGCAAGGGAAAACCCTGGAAGAAAAAGCTTTTTGTTTCAGTTACATTTCTAAGTCTTCTGTCTGGGACTCGAGGATTCCTCTCCCTGTGGGGGAAGGCCGACGTGGATCTACACAGTGAGACGGATGCAGTTAGAGACTGAGCCAGTGGAGCTGCCTGCAGGGTGGAAACAGGGAAGGAAGGAGGGGAGGGGAGCGAGTGCTGCTGCTTCCCAAAGGCAGACACCGCGGGGAGAGACGGCAGGGCCGGAGCCCCCCGTAAAGGCACGGGGCGTGTTTGGCACAAGGGAGCAAGGTGAGGTGGTCCATTTTCTCACTGGTTCAAGGGGAAGAAGGAAACAAAGCTCAAAAAACTCTGGCGGCAAGGGCCTCTGACTTTGGCAACAATCAGCCCTGCCACCCGCCGCATCTAGCTGTGTTGAGCAGAAACGGACCCCAAGGGAAGCACACGCAGGGAGTTTCAGCTGTTTGTCCCACAGCTGCTGTGGTGAAAGCGAGAGCTTCTCCCAGGGGAAGGGGCAAACGACTATGTTCACCTTTAAAAATGGACAAAACCACTGGGGAACATAGCGTTGCAGATACACAACCCTCCGAGGAGTCATGAGAAAAGCATCCCGTGGCCTTACAAACAGTGGCCAAAGTGACGTGTTTTCTCCTGCCCCTTGAAAATCCACTCGCAACGATACTAACGGTAGGGCTGGCAGCAAACCAAACCCAACATCCCACACACGCATCGCAGCTTAGGGAGCATACTGCTGACACCGACTGTTGTGCACACCACAGTGTGGTGCAGGTTAGGGGCTGGTTAGATGCTCAAGAAGTTCACCTTAGCCTTGTTAGAAGCAGCAAGTAGGATCTGTGTCACAGGAAGGAGAAAAAAAAACCAAAGTGGATTCCTGAACGCATAGACCCTTTATGTGATGGTAGGAACGGCGAGGGTTGGGACTCTGGCAGAGCTCAAGCGAATGCTGTGAGGACAACTGGAAGTCAGACTGCAAAGATGAACTTTTGGTCCAGGAACCTGACCTCTCAACCACCACACACCGGAGACCCGACGGGCCCTGGCAACTGCCCTCTGGGCTGACCAGCCACACTTTGCTGAAGGGACTGGCTGCTAGAGGCCTCGCTCCTACGAGCTCGACACGTGGTGGTGAATCAGCAGCTGCGCCCCAGAAGATTAACGTGTGCCATGAGGCATGTGGAAGAATTACAGTTAGCACTATCACAGTAAACCCCTCCAGGGCCAACCCAGAGCCTATCAAGAGGGTTCCAGGGATTTCAAAGAAGTGGAGTCGGATCTAGACAAGGCAGCACCGCGTAACAAAAAAAGCTATTCTTCAGAAGCAGCCACAGCCCTTTTTCCTGCACCAGCAGCCTAGATGATCTTCCCTACTTTCTGCATCCTTTGCCATCTGTGATGAATGAGCAGCAAGAAATTTCAAGCAAATGCGTGACCTTAAGGAAGAGGAGGGTAGTTTGGCATATTTTTGGCAGATCTGCAGTTCCTTTATCAGAGCTGAAATCTATAAAGCCAAGGAGCTGTTGCACAACAGCCACTGTACCACTTAGGGAACTAACACAAGTAAATAAAGTGTTAATGTGGAGTGGTGCTTTCCCAGTATCCGTTCACACCCCACAAATTAGCATAGGGAAAACAGGAGTTTCCTCCCTGAAGGGTTAGACAGTTATATTTAAAGCCAGGCTTTGGTTTGTGGTTAGTTTGAAGTGTACAAAACCTTCTCTTTGAGAGGTTGCTATAATAAAATAAATGACAGATGAGGTGAAACACAAGGAAACTCAGGCCTTTTACCAGGCACAGTGGTTAGTCTGTTGAAATGCACGGACCAGAACCAGCAAGCCTGCTGGATCAGAGCACTGGAAGACAGCAGCACAAGCCCAGTTGGTTCTGATGCAAGAGAAGATCAGAGGAGATCCAGGGGATAAGGGTGCCAAGCTGCAATTTCTTAGTGCACCCTGTTGCCAAGAGAATTTTGTTTCATAGTTTTAGTGGTTTACATAATCACTGAGTGGTTTTACCGGTCCAGGAAGAAGGGATTAAAAAAAACCCAAACAAACACATAGTTGCATCAGTTTCTCCACCCGTGTATTAACACAAACAAGGCAGAGTCAAAAGGGCGGCAGCTTCTAAGCACAAGATTTTCCTCATCCAGCTTTGCCCCTCGCAGATGTTTTGCTTCTGGATGAAATGCCCTCCTTTCTTGCCACTAAGTATCTGTATGTTCTTGCCAATTGCTCCATGTGCATGTAGCCCAAAGCAGTGGAGGAAAAGAAATCCCACAGCAAACCACAAAACAAACAATTTTTCTCAATTCCAGTTTTCATCAAACTCGTTCTGCTCCCACTGACTGACAGTACCTTGTTGCTGGTTCACTTCAATTAGTTATATCCATCCATCAGGAAGTTTTTTTCCCCACAGGCTTTAGACAATCACAAGATTGATTTGTTCTATAATCCAATATTCCAATTCAGCTTTCAGAATCCTCCTCTTTTTTTCCCCCCCCCTCTTCCCGTAGTAGTTTCCCTGTTCCCTAATTGCATTAACTATGTGAATCCTAAGACTAAATCTGACTGCCTAAGTGCAGGCCCACTTCAAGCTACGCAGGCCCTTGTGTTACATAGGTAGGTTATATCCAGGAAGGACAGCGAGGTGACAGTCTGTGTGACATATTTGCACCGGCGTTCCCCGGACAGTCAATTAGCACCGCAGCTGCCCAGTCTATGCCTCACAGCCTGCAGTGGCCACTGCAGAGAAGTCCTGCTGCTTATCACAGTCTCCACCAGAAATGCTCAAACCCACGCTCAGCGCACAATCGCGCTGGTAGGAAACGGCACCCACCACCTCACCCCCACTGCTCATGCAGATTCACTACTCCCTCCAGCTATTAGCAGAGCTTCTGCAGTTATTTTTCCTTCCTAAAGCAAAAGATGCAAAAAAAAAGAGTATTATAAATCACTATTCCACCTATAGCCTACATAATCAGATACTGTGTTCTGCTCCCCAGCAAAGAGAGCAAATGGTTGCTTTGGCTAGTTGCATACTGTTTGTGCTAGGAGAGGTAGAAGACGCCTCACGCAGCCAGGCACACTGCAGAAAACGATACCAGAAGCTGTTTTGTGTCGTAGTGCGAGGACTTCAGCTTAAGTACGTGTGATCCTCACAGGAAGCCATGTCTCACCCTGCGAAGAAGAGAGTTCATGCTTCTGCACGGTAAATCACAACCAGACCGCCACTGAGGAGGGCAGGGCCTCGCAAGGCAGAGCCCTGCCCTGCTGCAGACCCACTCGCTCTGGTCTGCTGAGGGACAACACAAACACCTCCAGTCCCAAGCCAGCTGCATGTGCGCCAACACTCCTAACTTCACTTCCACTTCTCATCTCCCCGCTGATGCCAGCTGCAGAGCTGTACCTCTGAGACAGGCAAGCGGTGAGGCGGGCATAGCTACAATCCTACATCCTTCTCACTCCAAAGCCTCCATGTCCAAACTCTTCGAGGGACAGACAGCATCAGGCCCCAGTCTGGTAGGAGATCCCTTCTGTATCACCCACGTGAAACTTCCTTCAGCCGTATGGTCCCTTAAGGGGCAAAGCCCAACCCCTGCTCAGAGGCAGTCACTTCCCCAGCACTTGCTGTGACACTCCAACACAAGCCTCCCAAAAATAACATGCGCTACACAGTCTCATCTTCCTACAAGCACTTCACATTGCTTCAGCTGCTAGGTGAGACAGGATGAGCTTTTCCAGGGCAACCCCACGCTAATTCCATTCACAGTGACACAAATGGGGCCTCAAATTCAACGTGTTTCACTGGAAAAAAGATCTGTTTAAATTACTTCTTTAAAATAACTTACTTCACACTCCAAGTTCAAGCTGCAGAAGTTCTGCGAGGACAAAAAAAATCAAAAATGGAGAGACTATGATAATATGAATTAGGGTAAATACATAACTTATACATTTCTGCAGTCCCAGTGCAGTCTGCAGCAGGGCCAGCTCTGGCTTCCAGTGAGGATGCAGTTAAGGGACATAGGAAAGAGCATGGCTTCAGCAAAGCAGAAAGTCAAGAGGAGATTTGGAAGTCCTGAGAAAAACTGGATTGGCAAGAGGCTACTCCATCTTTCAGTAGCACAAAGAGCTAAGGGATGGCAGATGAGTTAAGAAAAACACAAGACTCGTGCTCTAAAAAACAAAGGAAGCTAACAGCTGTATGAACTTGAGAGCGTCATCTACGTCCCGATTATTTGGTGGTAAAAGCCAACGGCAAGTCAAAGTGCATTATTTGGAAGAGCCCAGCTGGGTCAGCATCAGCTTGGCCATGCGCAACGGCCAGGCCTCAACAAGCCTAGAGCAAGGTATCAGCCCCCTTCGGACACAGAGATCCCTCGCCTGGGCCAGTGGGTAACGAATGGCTACAGTCAATTCCACCAGTCTCCATCCTGGGGAAACCCCCTTTGCAGCATATTCATGAGGACAGGGCAGCTCTGCTGCTGAGGGATGAGACTGGTCCCGCCCTACATCTGCTCCCCTTCCCACCCACCCTCATCTGCTCATGACAGTGGCCTCAGAAGAGTGGCAGGCACTCTTTTGCACAGTCCAAAGGTGGAAGCTTTATCTGAAACCCTTCCCGAGGAAAGAGAGAGGCCTGCATGTCCACGTTGATGCAGAGTAAGCCCAGCATAAGCTGGCGCTGGTACTCCTCCCACTTCATCATGACATCAGACAGGGAACGATTGCTTCTCATCCACATAGGCAGCGCTTCACCACAAGCTGGTGCGGAAGAAATTGGCAGGCTCTGGGGCCCTCCAAGCTCCAGGTGATAGTAGAGCCTGAAAGGCAAACAGACACAAAGAATCAGTACATCAGAAGACTTGAGCAGGTCACCAGACCAGAGCTCCAGAACCACAGAGCTAATCTGCTCTACCACTAACTCCCTGTGTGTGCCTGTTTTTCCCCTCATCTCTCTTGATTATTCAGACCATGAGCTCTTTTGGGTAATCACCCCGTTGTACTAGGATCTGAACCACAGCTAGGACCCTCTGTCTACTAATAGTTTCCTATTCTCATCCAAGCAACATGGTCTTGCCTCAGCCTCGTGCTGTGGCCTACAGCGGGGAGTTCCCTTCAAGAAGCACAGGCACACACACAGACCCAAAGCACTGTCTCATTTAGAAACCATCTGGTGTTTCCTGATCACCTTCACCCTAAACCAGACCTAGAAAAGGCCATTTGAATGCAAGCACGCCTTGGAAGGAACTTTTAAGGGACCCTGGGCCAGCAGATGCCACACAGACAAGCACCTCTGTTTTCTACAGGGAGCATGGAATAAGCACAGAGTTTTAATCCAACCTATACCTTCTGCCCTATTACCATAGTAATGGCTTCATTACAGGGTCTGTCCTGTAATGGGAAGAAGGAAGGAGACAGTGTGCTGAGTCTATCCCAACAGTTAATGAAGGCAAGAGACCAGATTTGCATTTTAGGTTGGGCAGTAAGTCCTTCTGGTCAATTAGTGCCTTAGTTGCTCTGCGCCAATGGAGTAGAGTCTGCACAAGTCAAAGGCGGAATGGGAAATGGGGGGCTCCTCCAGAAGAGTGCTGCGGAGGAGAGCAGTCATACCTGGCTGAAAGATGGCTGCCCAGTTTCTTCTTGGCTTTCTTCACAAGGTAGTTGCAGATTTCAGTCACCTGCTCCCTCATCCATCTAATATCCTCAGGGATATCTGGGAGCCATTCCAGCAGCCTGGGAAGAGATAGGAGACAACCATTAGTTGGGCCCCATGAGGGACAGGATGGAAATAATAGCACTTTCACCTCCTATCAATGGTTATTCATCACTTTTAGTGAGGAATGCATTAAGAGACATTTACACTACCATTCACAGAATTAAGGGAGAGAAGCTGTGAAGGATCAGAACAGCCCAGGAACCTATTCTTTATATTTTGTGTCTGCACTTCCCATATTTTTCATCCATTTTCAGATCTGAAAAGTGTTTTTCCCCAAGCCTATCACACACTGTCTTCTTCCAGAAACTTTTCATAGGGTACTTTGTACTAAGAGCAAGTCTGACAGATCTGTCTTCCCAGGTGCTTACATGTAGAGCTGGAAATGGCTAGGACTGCTCTACCCCTTGTTTCAGAGGAAAACCACCTCTTGCGTGGTTCCTACTTTCATCCCTGCACTCCCAGGTCAGAAGTCTCTCTCCAGACTCCAGAATTTATCACCGTTTTCTAGGGCAAGTTCCAGCACACAGACTGGCTGTAGCTAAATGACACGTGCAGGTAGGAATTCATCACCACCACCACGTTTGGTAAATGGCAGGAACTCTTTCCTCTTAGAAAAGGTTTTACTCTCTGTCCATTCATGCTCCACCAGTTACATCAAACATTTGGTTGCACCGGAAAAAGAACCGCTGAGGAAACCAAACAAAAGCCCACCTGACAGTGAAGGAAACTGCAGACTCCAGAGGCAGCATATAGGGGACCATCATCGCCGTGGCCACACGTATAGGCAGCATGTTGGTGATACCAGTCAAGAAACCTCTTCTTTCTGCACAAGCCTCCAGAAGAGCTGAAGACCGGAAAGAACATGGCTGAATTCCCATAACAGGATTATCCCTTTCCTTGCCATACCCCAGAAGTTACCCAGCCTGATGTCTCCCCTCTCCACCTTCCACTTCTTAAGGAAGTCTTGCTCAGGGTAGCAACTCCCTGAGGAGGTGAGACCAGCAGCTTTTAGCTTTATCAGACTCCCGAAAGAGTAGACATCAAGGTTCCCTCCTCTCCTTACCACGCAGAACACTGTCAAACGAGTCACCCTCTACCACTTCTTTAACCTCCACAGGGTAAGACACAACTTTATCCAAGAGGCCGCAGTTCCATTTAACCACCAGCAGGTGGCAGTTCAATCCCCAGGCTATGGCCAAGCCCAGCCACAAGCAACACCCACATCCCAATAATCCTGAAGTGGACCAGGCAGCACAGGAAGATTGCCTGAGCTCTCTCCCTTTGGATCATACCTTGGTTCAGTCTAGGAGGCAAGTGTTCAAAGATGTGCTCTTCAACAACAGCAAGGGCAGCATTGTCCTCTAGTTGGTCCTCAGCTTCTGTTTCTTCCTCTTTTTTCTCTTCTGGGGGGGCTTCTATGGCAAGGAGAGGGCGGGCAGGACTTGGACGATGAAGGAGACCTGAGAAGAGAAGTCGTAAGGTGAGGATAATACAGCAGCTACCCTGCCTTGCCTGCCCTTTGGAGTGTCAGCCCTCACTGCACTAACTCGTCTCAGACACACAGACATCATACCCAGCTCCTTTAGCTTACACCTACTGTAATGTTTACCCCAATGAGTTAGAAGCCTTGCTGCTTTAAGATCATCCTCCCTTTCCCCACCAGAAATTCTAACTTTTCCCTTTTAAGTACTGCAGGGTGCTGTTTGGCAGTGTTTTGTTGCGACGATCTGCCAATCACCAATCCTGCAGGTAAGATTTCCCTCCTGCGGCTTGTTCTACAAACACAGCTGCATGACTGCTCTTATATCAGTGAGGTGCATATCGCAGAGCAAACGTGCTTGATCTGCTATAAATTGACACTAGGTGGCATCAAACACACGCTCAACCTGCTACAGCGGTTGGAGGCAAGACAGCCCAGCAGTTCCACGTTGAAGAGAGAAACAGTAGTGCCAACCTGGCACGTGCCAGGGGTTGCTGAGGGCTTGCCTGCATTCTGCGCTGCTGTGCTACCTCAGACGTACCCAAACTGCACACAGATGGCTGCCACCAACGGCACTGGGGCCTGTGTAGCACCGAGCACATCCTAAGTAGCTTCAACACCCAGTTGTGCCAAAGCCAAAGCCACTGCTCTGATATCGGAGTGGTTGAGTCCTGCATTGCACTGGAATGGTGTCCACTCCACCTTTGCTTCCTGAAGTGCTAAAAGAGATCAATGGAAATCCCATATTCCTGTATCTGAGCACAGCTGAATTCTGCCCTTCTGCCTTTCACGTGCACCACTGGCTATCCTCAAAACCACGCCACCAAGCCTGACACAGAAGAGGCAAGTCAGCGCACCCTCAAACATCCAGTGCCTTACCATTCCTCTTCAGGAAGTGCAGCGCATCCCGATAGCCCTGCTTGCACATATCCCGCAGCACCTGTGGAAAGAGGAAGGCAAGATCAGGTAATTTGGAGATTGTCTGGCTCAGCCTAACAAACACCCAGCTCAATGCTGGCTTCAGGGGAATTCTGCTGACTCCTGAGCTACCCCGAGGAGAAGACTCATCCTTGCCAGCTCTTCCCA